ACACAGGAGGAATGTACCAAAATAACAAAGGGGCAGAAACTCCACAGTGGAATAGTCATAATGTTTGATATTAACTGCTCAGCAGAGTAAAGTTTAAAAAATTGTCAAATACATCATCTTGATATAAAAAGTCTCTAAGACAAAACTTAGTATTTTGAGATAAAGAAAATCAAAGTAACCACCAGTGCATAAGAGTGGAACATGCAACATAAAAGGGAATTTTGGATGTAATGAGAACTGCTTTGGACCAGTAGTATTTGAGGAAGAGGAAGACAAGCTTAGTGTAACTGAGTGAAATTTGTTCCTGTTGTAGCAGAATTATAAGGCAATGTCCAAGAGTGATAAATCAAGACATAGTGTTAAAATAAGAAAGATATTGACAGAAACAAACAGCCTGCATCCTAAATAACAAATAGGGTACATTGGAAGCAACCTGTAAAAGAACAAAAATTGAAAACCATTTAAAGTGCTGCCCTCCTAAAGGGAGTAAAACTAAGATGAAAGAGAGAAACATTTTCTTTCATGATACATCTTTGAGGTATTCTGTTGAATCTTTAAGCAGGTTTTCTTTACTTTATAATGCAATTATTTTAAAAACAGAGGGAGCACAACATTAATTTCTGTTTTTATTAAAGCCATATTAGATTTTTCCCATCCTAAGATAACTAAAACTGCCATCTAAATGTACAACTTTTTCTGAGTATTATTTTAATTGTAGGATATATTAGTTTTTCCTTTAAACACTACTGTCCCCTTTAAAAACTCTTTCTAAATATTTCTTTTTCTTGGATATTGAAGCTATTATTTGAAATATTTTTTTCTTTTTGGTTGTTACAGGGTCTCACTATGCAGCTCGGACTCATGATGCTCCTCTTGCTTTCAGCCTCCCCAGCACTAGGATTATAGGTGTGCGCCGCTATGCCTGGACTGTGGCCTGCTCAGATAGCCCTGGGGGAAGGGCTAACACAGTATGTGGTGCTGGGAATTGAGCTGCAATCTCTGAACTTGCCTAAACTTGCCTAAGCAGGCACTTTAGTTCCCTGAGCTATCTCACTGACCCTGAAATTTTTTTTTAAATTTAATTTTATTTTATTTTGAAGAGTAAAAGCAGAAACAAAAACAAATAGAAAAAAAGACAGAAATAGGGTAAAATATAACATTAAGTATGTTACATCTTTTCAAAACAGGAAAAGCTAATTAAACAATGATTGTTATATATTTTTACTGTCAAATCTGTTGCTCAGATTAACAGATATAGTTATGCAAGATTGGGAAAATAATTGAATATTGGAACTTGCTTTCAATAAATCTTAATTTTTTTCTTGTCTTTTTTGTTTTAATTTATTTTAAAGAGAGTATAATAATTGATAAGACATTAGAGATAGTACACATTGAGAAGACCAAGAGGAGAGGTACTCAACCACAGGTTTTGTATTACACACTACTGTCCTTGATGCAGTTGCTCAGAGAGCAGATATCAGTTTATAGAGTTAGTTAAGGTGAAAAGCCTAAACATTAACTGATATTTTCAAAAAGCTGATGGAAATTATGAGTACAACCATCTCAGCCATCCTGTATATATGGCTGCATGTTTTCCCTTCCTTCCCATTTTCCTTTCTCTCATCTCCAATGTTTAATTCTTCAGTTTCTTTGCATTTTACTATATCTATTATACCTTTCAGGTTTTATTTGTTCTGGCAGGTTCTTACAGTAGGGAGACAATACAATATTTACACATGTGGGTCTAATTTGTTTCACTTATGAGCATAGCCTCTAGCTACATCCACTAACATAGGAAGGTTTAAGTTTGTTTTTCTTTTAGGGCAGGGTCCACAGGGTGTTCAGGGTCTCACTACTAGATTGGACTCATAGTGATCTGTCTGTTTACAGCCTCCCAAGAGCTAGGATTATAGGCATGTGCCACCACGCCCAATCTCAACTGCTGTCTCAGTGCACCTTGGGGCGGGGCGGGCATGGCAGGCCCCAGAGTTTGAACTCCAGGCCTTTGCTTCTGCCTAAGCAGGTGCTTTAATCTGCTGACTATTTGGCCAGCCCTAAAGAATTGTTACTGAAGTTTAAAAAGCAGTATGTTCAAATGCACCTACCTTCTTGCCTATAATTTACATATTAAGTTGACTTAAGTTTTGTTTCCCATTAGATTCTCAGTGTAACAAATTCATATATTTAAAATGACTTGGAAAGGGTGAAGGCACTTGGGGAGCTTTTCAGGGGCTCCCACTGTAATGGCACAATGGTCGCTACAACTACCTGAGCTATGGCAACTGTAGTACCATTCAGAATTCTCTGCCGCCCCACCCTCGGCGTTACAATGCACCCTTCTCATCATGTTAAAGAAACTGGAGAGGCTCAGGAGATAGCTCGGCAGTCTATGCGCCTGCCTGGCAAGTGCAAGGACCTGAGTGCTATCCCCATACCACATGCCGTGCTAGCCGCAGGACTGGGTGTGCCCTACAGGCCCCCAAACGTGCCATGGAAGTACACGTCTATAATCCCAGCACTGCAGAGGCTGAGACAAGAGGATCAGTATGAGTCTGAACTGTGCAGTGAGACTCTGTACCAAATAAATGAACTAATTAATTTTTTAAAAAATCAAAGAAAGTGAAAAATGCAGCCCCATCAAGCAAATGTTTTCTAGATCTAAATCCAAGCCATTGTAGGCATATACTGGCAAAGTGTCCACGCATACCAGAGAAACTGGTTGTGAAGCAAAGTTTTGCAATATATTTGATGCTGTGATTTGGGGGCATTTCTCTTTTGACAGAACGTGCTGGATGGGCAGGACCCTGATGGGTGCACTGTCACTATAGCAGCCCTTCTGCCCCCACAGTGGGGCTCAGCGGAGCCTCACTGAATTCAACACTCAGAACCCACAAGCTTTGGTAACAGCACATAAAAGAGAAGACGTTATGAAGACTCCTTTGGCCCAGCAGAGCTTCCCCAGGTCTCACGAAGTGCAGCCGCGGGCACAGCTTCCCTCTCCTCGGCAGTGGAGGTCTTTTCCCCAGAGCTGGAGTATCAGACCGCTGAGTGAGCATAATGCAGACTCTTTGGCCCAAGGCACTAGAGATCAATTTTAAAAGCCATTATCTTTTTAAAATAATTCTTCCCTTTGAACAAGTTATGCCTTTTTGCTTGGAGAAATTAACCATTCACTTATTTTATGTGATTTTTCTTAACTGATTAAAAATACTGATTTCACTAGTTTCCTAAATTTCTGCCTTATATGTAAGAAATTGGATTAAAGAACTAAGTTTGAATGGCTAGATACTTTTTAAAAATTGGTTTAATGGTTATTATTCAGTTGAAAACCTTCTCTGTGAAAGCCTTGAAAAAAGTTCATAGTTAAAATTGAAACAAACCCAAGAAGTGACTACATTTGCATAACTTGATCTGTATTTGGAAAAAAAATATTCCACTGAAGACAACAATGGAAGCTTATCAAATCAGAATTTCACATAGATTTTCCATAGCCCTACTAATGAATACTGACTCATTGGTCAGCTATGGGGAAAATGTAATGGAGCTTTAAGATAGGTAATGCAAGTATCTGAGCGGGTCCTGTGGTTCCACTGCATCAGGATAGACTGCATTTGGGGTCCAGTTCCTTTGCTGCTTTCTGGGACCAATTCTAGGGTACTTTCAAAGTATTACTTCAGTAGGAGTTTGGTTGGAGCCAGACCCCACCACTGAACTAAAAGTCCATTCATATTGCCACTGTCAGGATACATTTAGCCTTTAGGGAGAATTGGGGTTGTCCAGGCAGTTGATCTGATTTTGTCTTACAAGATATCAGGGTGGTTAGGATAGATATATAGTTACATTCTGTTAATGAATAGAATGATTTGTTCTAATGGTGTTTGTAAATAGGATGTCAAGTCCTCATCTTGTATAGCAATTAACCACTAAGAAGAATGTATACAGTGTGTTAATTATTGAAACTGTCCTAGGGATTTGATTTGAAACTATCTCATTGCTATTTGTTTATCAATAAAATTATGGCAAAAAAATTTTTTAAAAACCAAAAAAAAGATATCAGGTAATCTGTAACTAAATTTCTGTAAGAAAATGATAACTTAGGAGCTGGGGAGATAGTTCAGTAGAATAAATGCTTGCCTGGCAAGCACAAGGGCCTGAGTTCAATCCCTGGTACTGAAAAAAAAAAAAAAAAAAAAAAAAAGATAATCTAGAGGATGAATTTTAATATAGAACTGAAGGTACTGTCATAATGTCCTATGAAGCAATAGAGGGTCCAATAGCTCCTCAAAGGTATGCATAAATATCCCACTTAACAGATGAGAAAGTAGAGGCTCACAGAGTTTATAACTTATACTATGTCGATATGAATGAACAGAAGAACTACATTCTGCCTAGTCTAATCCCAGGTACCATGTACTGCATTTCTATTCTGGTGGCTAAAATGGCTTAGGTACATTTGCTCTGTATCTTAGATTATTTACAAAAAATATCTCATTATTTCAGTTTTGACTAAGCTTTTGGCTCTCCAGCAGTCCATACCTGTAATATTTTCAGGACATTAATTTGTCTCAGTCTTTCTTCTTCTCACATATTTCAGGCCCCAAGTTGGTGATCAGATAGTATTATCCTACGACATATTTGAGCGCATGAGGAGGACTAATGTAATCATGTATGCTGAGACAGCAGGTATGTAGACACTAGGACTGTCCAGGCATGTGGCAACGTGCCGGCATTCTGTCTGCCCGCTGGGACCTCTTCTGTGTTCCTGGTGTGAGTCCAAATCCTCGATGCCCAAACTAGACATTTGTCCTATGCCTGCATCTTATTACCTTTACTTTCTCAGAGTTCATTTGCTAGATAACTATTGTTGCCTGTATTACAGAGCAGAAAATTTAATAAGGAAGACCGTAGCATCCTAAATATTCGTTTAAGGCTGATTGGCTCTGGACACAGAGGAGCACTCGCTTTTCACAGTCACAGCACAAGTAGGAAATGTCTTGTACCTTTAATAAGTCCTTTTTCTTGCAGAGTTTTCAGGGAAGGTCTTCGGGTAATAAACTTCTTCAATCGGCTTTTAACTCTGTTTTTGTCACTTGTATCTGAAGCGCTGTGGTGCAGTCTGAACACTGGAGAACAAAAACAAAGTCAGAGACGTTCAGTAAATTTCTCTTTATGATTATTGCTTTAAGCAAATATGGGTAGAAAACAGCATGAATGGGAAAAACTACCTGAATTAATAGCTCAGGGCTCAATAAGGCATCTGAGTAAAATCACCCGTAGGAAAGTCCTGGGTCCGACTACAACCTCAGGGTGTGACAGGAGTGGGAGTGGGCTTGTACAGTGACGATTCCTTCCCTTATATTTATTGTAATAATTTCACCTAGATAATTTTACTTCCCTATTTTTTTAACACAAAATTAAGTTCCAAGTAAAGAAAAATTAAAGAGAGGATGCTTTAGCGTTGTTAATTGCACATAATTCAGATTATATTCTATCTTTAAGTAACGCAGGAATTTTTGAAGGTTCTGTTTCCTCAAATAATTTTGTCAGTCATTTGTAAATGTTAACTCAAAGTCATTTCTTTTTCTGCAGCCGATATTTCCCATCCTTCTTATGATGTACAGTTTTCACAAGTTGTAGGTAAAATTGAGGAACACCAATTTGCCTCAGATGCTCTCCTTGTTTTTATTAGTCCTCTATCCTCAGTTTCAAATTCTTAGATTAATTTTCTTTCTTTCTTTCTTTTTGTTTTAGTACCAGGGATTGAACTCAGGAACTTGTGCTTGCCAGGCAAGCACATATTCTACCGAACTATCTCCCAACTCCTTTTAGATTAATTTTCAAAGTCAGTAGTGAGCCAGATTCATTTCTGGACAAATACTTGTTTTTTTCTCCCATAATATTATTGATAAACAAATAGCAATGAGACAGTTGCAAATCAAATCGGTAAGACAGATTTAATAATTAACATACTGCATACATTCTTCCTAGTGGTTAATTGCTGTACAAGATGCGGACTTGATATCCTATTTACAAACACCATTAGAACAAATCATTCTATTCATTAAGAGAATGTAACTATATATCTATCCAAACCACTTT